ATCAGACTGAACCCTATTGACTCTTGTTTAAATAGAGATTTCAGCTTAGCTCAGGCATGCACAGGTTGTTCTTGATGTACAAAATTTCGCTCGTTGACCATACGATGTTACCATGGCAAGGTGAGCTAGGACTGTTCTTCACACTTACGACCGTTGCAGCATCTGCAGGGTCACGTGATCCAAGTTCGGAGGCTTGGCAACTGACTCGTATTTAGGACGGTTGCAGTGTCCCCTGGGATCACGTGATTCCCCCCCCCTTTTGTAGAGATTCATCCAACAACTGTGGAAAGGAAATCCGTAAAATGGGGCAAAACTCTTTAACCTCTGTCTTGCTTAGCGACATAAATTTGGGACTCAGCTGGGCTCACAAGTCAAGGACTGCCTAGTCGGTGTTCTAATATCTAAGGGGTGTTCCAATATTTGAGGGGCTGCTATAAAGCTGAGAGGGGGGGGGGTCAAGCTATTCTCCAAAGCGCCTGAAGGCAGGACAAGAAGCAACGGATGGAAACTCATCAAGGAGAGAAGCAACCTAGAACTAAGGAGAAACTTCCTGACAGGGAGAACAATTAACCAGTGGAACCACCTGCCTCCAGAAGCAGTAAATGCTCCAACACTGGAAGCTTTTAAGAAGAGACTGGACAGCCATTTGTGTGACATGGTCTAGGGTTTCCTGCCTGAGCAGGGGGTTAGACTAGATGACCTCCAAGGTCCCTTCCAACTATTATTCTATTAAGAAGCGAGCAACCTGTTCTCCAAAGCCCCTGAAGGCAGGAGAAGAAGCAATGGATGGAGAAACTAATCAAGGAGAGAAGCAACCTAGAACTAAGGAGAAACTTCCTAACAGTGAGGACAATTAACCAGTGGAACTCCTTGCCTCCAGAAGCTGTGAATGCTCCAACACTGGAAGGTTTTAAGAAGAGATTGGACAGCCATTTGTCTGAAATTGTATAGGGTTTCCTGCCTGAGCAGGGGGCTGGACTAGATGACCTCCAAGGTCCCTTCCAACTATTATTCTATTAAGAGGGGAGCAACCTGTTCTCCAAAGCCCCTGAAGGCAGGAGAAGAAGCAACGGAGGGAAACTAATCAAGGAGAGAAGCAACCTGGAACTAAGAAGAAACTTCCTGACAGTGAGAACAATTAACCAGTGGAACTCCTTACCACCAGAAGTTGTGGGCGCTCTAACCCTGGAGGTTTTTAAGAAGAGACTGGACAACCACTTGCCTGAAATGGCATAGGCTCTCCTCTGTGAGCAGGGGGTTGGACTAGAAGACCTCCAAGGTCCCTTCCAGCTCTATTATTATATGTTCTGTGTTCTAGAGAAAAGAAGGACTAGGGGACTTCCAATATCTCAGGGGCTGCCCCAAAGAAGAGGGAGTCAAGCTCTTCTCCAAAGTACCTGAAGGCAGGACAAGAAGCAACGGATGGAAACCAATCAAGGAGAGAAGCAACCTAGAACTAAGGAGAAACTTCCTGACAGATGAAGGCAATTAACCAGTGGAACTGCTTGCCCCCAGAAGTTGTGTCTGCTTCACCACTGGAGGTTTTGAAGAAGAGACTGGACAGCCATTTGTCTGAAACGGTGTAGAATTTCCTGCCTGAGCAGGGGGTTGGGCTAGATGACCTCCGAGGCCCCTTCCAACTATGTTACTGAGTCCTGTTATTCTAACAGGGCATCCTCAAACTTTTCTGTCAGACAAGTAATGAAATGGAAGCAAAAGGATGGGGGAATTATTACCGGGGAGAATAAGCAAGCCCACTCTATTCAATTTTCCAAGAAAGCAGACTGACGGAAATCAAATTTATTTGGGCTCCATCCCCCCTACCACCTCCGAAGCACTCTGCTCCCTCGTGTGCAGCTGAGCACAGAAAAATTGTGCCCGGCAGAGGCAGAACGAAACGCTCCTTGCAAAATATGATTGAGCTGTAATTCTACGGAGATTGGAGACTCCGTGCACCAAATTGCCAGCAGAACACGCTGCACCTGCCGGGGCTGAAAAATCTCAACTCCTGATTTACCGAGATTTATTTCTGGGCATCTGGTCTGATTTTTGCGCAGGGAAAAGACAGGGCAAATAGAATAGAATAGAATAGAATAGAATAGAATAGAATAGAATAGAATAGAATAGAATAGAATAGAATAGAATAGAATAGAATAAGCTATAGGATATAGAATAGAATAGAATAGAATAAGCAATAGAATATAGAATAGAAATACAGAATAGAATAGAATAGAATAGAATAGAATAGAATAGAATAGAATAGAATAGAATATGGAATGGAATGGAATAGAATGGACGATAGGAGAAAGAATAGAATAGAATAGAATGGAATGGAATGGAATACAATACAATACAATACAATACAATACAATGGAAGACAGGAGAAAGAATAGAATAGAATAGAATAGAATAGAATAGAATAGAATAGAATAGAATAGAATAGAATAGAATAGAACAGTATAGAATAGAATAGAATGGAATGGAATGGAATACAATACAATACAATACAATACAATACAATACAATACAATACAATGGAAGACAGGAGAAAGAATAGAATAGAATACAATACAATACAATACAATACAATGGAAGACAGGAGAAAGAATAGAATAGAATAGAATAGAGTAGAATAGAATAGAATAGAATAGAATAGAATAGAATAGAATAGAATAGAATAGAATAGAATAGAATAGAATAGAATAGAATAGAAAATACAGAAAGAATAGAATAGATGAAATGGAATGGAATGGAATAGAATGTTGAACAGAACAGAATAGAATAGAACAGAAATAATTAGAATAGAATAGAATAGAATAGAATAGAATAGAATAGAATAGAGAATGGAATGGAATGGAATGGAATGGAATGGAATAGAATAGAATAGAATAGAATAGAATAGAATAGAATAGAATAGAGCTGGAAGGGACCTCAGAGGTCTTCTAGTCCAACCCCCTGCTCAAGCAGGAGAACCATGCCATCTCAGACAAGTGGCTGTCCAGTCTCTTCTTAAAAGCCTCCAGTGATGGAGCTCCCACGATTTCTGGTGGCAAGCGGTTCCACTGGTTAATTGTCCTCCCTGTCAGGAAGTTTCTCCTCAGTTCCAGGTTGCTTCTCTCTTTGATCAGTTTCCAACCATTTATTTGAGTACATTTTTTTTTAAAAAAAGGAAATGCATGAAGCAGCACCCCAGTTGATCTTTCTGCATTTGGGGGGTGGGTGGGTTCTGAGCCAAGAGGCAGATGAGGCTATTTATTTTGAAAAAATTCTAAGAAGGTCCACGAGGCCCATGGAAGGGTTCCTGGAAATTCAGCTGCGCTTCCTGCTCAAATGGGTTTTAATTAGGGAAGGGTCATTCAAGAGCAGGGGAAAAAAAAAAAGCAGAATATTTCTCCCTCCGCATTCATATACCTAACAGCATCGGGGGGATCTGATCTCCAGTCCCCATCTCTTAAAAATAAAATTTAGAAATGTAAAACTTAAAATAATAACGAGACCTAGAAGAGCTGCGATTTGGAGCAAACTAACGGAAAGGACGAGTCAGTCTTCCACCCAGGGGGTGTTGAGTGATAAGGCCAAAAAAAGTCAAGATGGTGGCCACAATAGCGTGATGGAAGCTTTTCCCATGGATGGTGCAGCTTCGATTGGACCATTGTGGTGGTTAATAATAATAATAATAATAATAATAATAATAATAATAATAATAATAATAAAAATTGACAGACTTTATCTACCAAGGCAAATAGGTGGGCGTGGAATGCTACAAGTACATCAGATGGTTGAAGAAGATAAAATGGCTTTGGAAGAATATCTGAAGAACAATGATGAAGATGCACTGAAATTAGTAGATCAGGAAGGCTTACTGACTACTGGAGAGACCAAACTGGCCTACAAGAAAGACCAAATGAAGAACAGAATAGAGGCATGGGAAGACAAAGCACTACATGGCCAATACATGAAAAAAATAGCTGGGAAAGCAGATAATAATAAGACCTGGCAATGGCTAAGAGCAGGAAAATTGAAGAAAGAGACCGAGGGACTAATTCTGGCTGCACAAGACCAAGCCTTAAGGACAAATGCATACAAAGTCAAAATTGAGAAGACAGCAACAGACAGTAAGTGCCGCCTATGCAAAGAAGCTGAAGAAACAGTGGACCACTTGGTAAGCTGTTGCAAAAAGATTGCACAGACTGACTACAAGCAGCGGCATGACAAAGTAGCAACAATGGTGCATTGGAAGATCTGCAAAAAATATCATTTGCCTGTAAGCAAAAACTGATGGGATCATAAAACAGAGAAAGTCATAGAAAATGATAAAGTGAAACTGCTCTGGGACTTCAGAATTACCTAGGTCCTGGGTAAGGACTCGATAGGTAGACAAAATGCCTAATCCAGTCTGAATATCTGGCTGACTGTGCGATGATCAATAATAATAATAATAATAATAATAATAACAATTGGAGCACCACTTGGACACCATCGGCATTGACAAATTCGCCATTAGTCAATTGCAAAAGGCGGCTTTAGTAGGAACTGCTTCTATCCTGCGACGATACCTGTAATACCATCAAACATCCACATCTGCCTATCCCAGGTCCTGGGTAAGGACTCGATAGATAGACAAAATGCCAAATCCAATCTGAACATCTGGCTGACTGTGCGATGATCCATAATAATAATAACAATAACAACAACAACAACAACAATAATAATAATAATAATAATAATAATAATAATAATAATAATAATAATATTCTTTTTAGATCAGGGGTCCCCAAACTTGGCAACTTTAAGTTGTGGACTTCAGCAAAGCTGGCTGAAGAATTCTGGGAGGTGAAGCCCACCAGTCTTAAAGTCGCCAAGGTTGAGGACCCCTGCTTTAAGGGACATCTCCTTTGTTCCTGGAGTCTTCCTCCCCTCTGTTGTGGCATCAGTGACATCACAAAGACACCCCCCGTGAGTCTTCAAGCCAAGCCCACCTCTGATAAGCTGGGTGGCAGCGGCTTCAGAAGATCCCCTTCCCCCACGAGTGGGGCACGACCACCTTCTCTCTGGGGAGGGCAGAGTGGGGGGCTGCAAGCCAGATCCCCTAGGAAGGAGACCTTGGCTCTCTGCCGGCTTTCTCGGAATGTCCTTGGCGCTGACCGAGCTGATAGCCACCCGAGGGAGGGCTGAGCCGCCATGTCGCACATGGCTGACCAAGGTTCTAGAACGCCCAGGCAGCCAAGATGCTAGAGCCAAAGGACATGACCGAGAAGGAACTGTCAGAAGAATCATGTGAGCTGGAAGCTGCTGCAGTCCTCCCAAAGTCCTGTCTCCAACATCTGGACAGCACCAACTGGAAAGAGCGCATCTCCTGTCTGGAGGCCCTGGAGAAAGCCGTGGAAGAGATGGACCACCACCAGGTGCCCTGTCAAGCTTTGGTCAGGCTCCTCCAGAAAGAGCCCGGCTGGAACGAAACCAAACTCCAGGTCATGCAGAAGAAGTTGCACATCGTCACCCTCATCGCCCGCAAAGGGAACTTCTCCAGAACCTCCGCTCAGTTCGTCCTGGGGAACCTGGTGGACAAGATTGGAGATGTCATCTGCGGCGGCGACACCAAGGAAGCCCTCACGGCCGTGGCGGAGGCTTGCGGCTTGCCGTGGACTGCCAAGAAAGTGACCGAAGCCGCTTTTTTGCAGGACAGCCCCAGGACTCGGGCCGAAACGCTGAAGTGGCTTTCAGAGGCCATCCGAGATTTTGGGTTTGAGGGCCTACAGGCCAAGATGTTTGTGAGCTACATCAAAGCTTCCTTGTCCGCAGCCCATCCAGACGTGCGGACCTCTGCTTTTAACCTCCTCGGGGTGATCTTCCTCTACGTCGGGAGCCCCTTGAGGGCCTACTTTGAGAATGAGAGACCCCCTCTTCTGGCCCAGATCGACGCCAGATTTGAGCAGCTGAGAGGTCAAAGTCCTCCTCCTCAAACACGAGGCCGCTGCCGGTTCTGCCGAAACTGTGCCAACGAGCAACAGGGAGGCGATGCGCAGCCCTACTGGAAGAAGAACACGGTGGACATCAGCCAGAAGATCTCGGTCGAGCTGATATCCAAGATGCAGGACCCCAGCTGGAAAGTCCGGAAGGAAGGGCTGGAGGAAGTCTCCAAGATCCTCAGAGAGGCCACCTCCATTCAGCCCAATCTTGGCGACCTCCCGCTCGCCTTGAAAGCTTGTCTGCACGACGCCAACAAAGTTCTGGTGAAGCAGACCTTGATTGTCCTGCAGCAGCTGGCCAAGGCCATGGGCCCGGGGGTGAAGCATCATGTCAAGACCCTGGGGATGTCCATCCTTGCGGTTCTCAAAGACAGCAAAAGTAGCTTGAGGCCCATGGCTCTTAGCACCATTGAGGCCTGGGCCGAGCAGAGCGGCATAAAGGAGTGGCTGGAAGGAGATGACCTCTTCACCGATCTGAAGAAGGAGACGGTGTCCCCCAGACAGGGCTTCCTGGGCTGGTTGGTGGAGAAACTGCCATCTTCCAACTCGGCTTCTACTGACCTGCTCCGTTGCGTTCCTCACCTCTATTCAGCCTTGGAGAATTCCCACGAGGAAACACGCACTACCGCGCAGGAGGCCCTGCCCTTTTTCCTTCTTCACCTTGGCGTTGAGAAGATGGCTGAAGCTACCAACAAGCTGAAGCCAACTTCCAGAGACCAGGTCCTCCTTCTCCTGGAAAGAGTCAAAGACAGCAGATCTTCCAAGTCCACCCTTAGCTTGTCCAGGACCCTTTCCAAGCTCCCACGAGGCAGGTCTTGGTCCAGATCAGAGGTGGCAACTCCTCAACCATGCCTACCCACCCCCTCCTCCTCGACTGAAAACGTCGGGTCCAACGAGTTGAGCGTAGATGTCCGAAAAGCCATTTCAGAAGGCACGGTCCCCAAAGCTAAGCGGCTTCCGGCGACGAAGGCTCAAAGCAAAGTGGGCTTCAAAGAAGGTCCCAGCAAGCTAGGCCCCATTTTTATGATTGTCCCCAAAGGCAAAGAGCAAAGGGCCAAGGAGGAGAAGGCTTTGAAGGTCCTGAGATGGAACTTCAGCACCCCAAGCAGCAAATATATCGAGCAGCTCAAAGCTCAGATGTCCGGTTGTCTGTCGGGCTGGCTACAAGAAGAGATGTTTCATTCCAACTTCCAACACCACATCAAAGCGTTGGCGGTGATGACCAAGCACCTGGAGGTTGAGAAAGATGGGGTCCTCAGCTGCCTGGATCTCATCTTGAAATGGCTCAGCCTTCGGTTGTTTGACACCAACACTTGGGTGTTGATGAAGACTCTAGAGTACCTTCAGAGACTCTTCCATCTGCTCATTGAGGAGAAGTATCAGCTGACGGATAACGAGGTGTCCTCTTTCCTGCCCTACCTTCTCCTGAAGCTGGGAGGAACCAAGGAATCCATCCTCAAAGAAGTCCGAGCAATTGTGAAGCAGATTGTCTTCATTTACCCGGCCTCCAAGACGTTGTCTTTTCTCCTGGAAGGAGCCCAGGTGAAAAACACCAACCAACGGGTCGGTTGTTTGAAAGAGTTGGGATGGTTGCTGAAGAAATACGGTCCGGAAGTCTGCCAGCCAAATCCCAGCAAAATTCTGAAGACTCTCCTTGTCTTGACGGGAGACTATAACAATGTGGTCCATACGGCTGCTTTGAAGGTCATCGCAACTGCTCGGGACGTGTTTGGGGTAGAAACATTTCGGGTCATCGGGAATATCTCGGAGAAACACATGGGACTTTTGGAGGAGAGCATCAAAGAGGCAGGAGCTATGGATGTCAGAGAGGAGAAAATGGAAAGGCACCTCTCCAAGTCTGTAGAAAGTTCCCGGCAGAACATCCCAACTGGAAATCCAACCAAAGAGGACTCCTCAGATTCTGTTCAAGAGCAGGAGAAGATCAACCAGGAGGACACGTCTCCAAATCCCAAACCAGCAGTTGGAGAATCACCAGGGATGAATATGGAGCTCCAAGCTGAGAGTAGGGTCTCACCTAATGTCAACATGATCATTTGCCATGTGGCTAGTGGTTGCCTTGTCACAAGTACAGAGGCCTTAGTCCAGATTCAGGAGATTCTGGAGCAGGAGGACAATGTGGAACTCATGTCTGGCCACATCAACCCGTTTCTGATAGCTGCCCTCCGGCAGATGAAGTTCATCCACCGTCTCCACGTCACGGCAGAAGAAGAAGCAAGGAAGGAACAGGTAGTTGAGCTCCGTAACGCCATCATTTGCAACCTGGCCGCCCTCTTCCAGGTAGAGATCTTGGCCCAGCAAGCTTCTGCTGGAGTGCTGAAGGACCTCATCAGTTGTCTCATCAGCTTCTTGTTGGATTCTCCAGTGGAGGAGCTTCCAGAAGAGCAATCCACTAAACTGGTGGTCATCAAGGTTCTGGAGAAATCCAACCAGACCAGAATCCTCAGTTCTTTGCTTCTGCTTCTCCAAGAAAGCATGACCGCCCCCACCAACCTCTTTGCTTTTTCAGAAATGGTGGCCAAGTGCTTGTGGAAAACAGCCAAGAGGCTTCCTCAGACCATCGACAACCTCTATCTGGACCAGATCCTGCTGGATGTCCACCTATTCATGAAGGTCCTGCCCAAGGAGAAATTAAAGCAGTATCAGAGCAATTATCCACTGCGGGCCCTGAAAACTCTTCTCCATGCCCTTTGCAAGTTGATGGGCGAGGAGATCTTGGATCATCTCACGCTGATTGAGGACAGGGGAGACTCCGATTTGGAAGCCAACCTCCAGAAAGTTCTTGGCCACTTTGAGGGACAGGCTGGCCTGGACCAAGAGCCAGGCTCTCCTTCTCTAGCCCAGGATGACGTCAACCCAACCTTGGTTGACATTTTCAAGAAGATCAACTCCAAGGAAACCGCCAGGGCAGGTCTTGAAGATCTCCACGAATTCAAGGAGAAACACCCCGAGGCAGATTTAGTACCTTACTTGAAAAACTGTTCCCTTCTTTTCCGGAGTTACGTCAAACACGGCTTGGCCGTTATAATGTCGGAGAGGGAAAACAAACAGAAAACCCACATTTCGTCCGAGAACGCTGCGTGATGCCAGGTCTCCGTTCCCAAATGGTAAAGATTTCCAGGTGCAGAAGAAGAGTCCACATCGGGCCAGGAGTATACTTTTCAACTCAATTCCCCCCTTGCCTGCCAGAAAAGTCACTGACAAGGTGAAAAAAACCCCCTAAAACAATAAAATCAGCTGTCAGTTGCTCAAAAGATTGCACGGGTGCAAGACAGTTATTTGGGGTTAATTCCCGAAGCAGCAACACAATTGCAGTAACACAACGGTGGTCTTGATCTATGCTTTGCCTGGATCTAGCACTTCCTTTGAAATGGAGATTCTTGAGGAAGGCACAGAGAATCTTTGGATGACATCCCAAAATAGTATTAGTTGAAAAAGAAAAAAAGAGTTAGTTTGGTCTAGTACAGGAATAGGCAACCTTGGCTCTTTTATGACTCATGGACTCCCAGAATCCCTCAGCCGGTGTGAGGGAACTATGGCCCCCTCATGACTGGTGGACTTCAACTCCCAGAATTCCTCAGCCAGCGTGGGGAAATTATGGCCCCTTCATGACTTCTGGACTTCAACTCCCAGAATTCCTGAGTCACCATGGGGGAACTATGGCCCCTTCATGACTCATGGACTTCAACTCCCAGGATTCCTCAGCCAGCATGGGGGAACTATGGTCCCTTCATGATTCGTGGACTTCAACTCCCAGAATTCCTGAGCCAGTGTGGGGGAACTATGGCCCCTTCATGACTTGTGGACTTCAACTCCCAGAATTCCTCAGCCAGCATGGGGGAACTATGGCCCCTTCATGACTTGTGGACTTCAACTCCCAGAATTCCTGAGCCAGCCTTGCTGAGGGGAAAGGGAGAGGTTTCCAAGCTGAGCCATGTTGGCTCAGGAATTCTGGGAATTGAAGTCCACCAGTCATAAAAGAGCCAAGGTTGCCTACTGCTGGCCTAGTAGTTAAGGCACTAGGCTAGAAAACAGGAGATGGTGAGTTCTAGTCCTGATTTAGGCATGAACGCCAGCTGGGTGACTTTGAGCCAGTCACCAGGGGACAGTGAGTTCTAGTCCCGCCTTAGGCATGAGAGCTGGCTGGGTGACTTTGGGCCAAACACCAGGAGACAGTGAGTTCTAGTTCTGCCTTGGGCATGAAACTGGATGGGTGACTTTGGACCAGTCACTAGGACACGGTGAGTTCTAGTCCCGCCTTAGGCATGAAAGCTGGATGGGTGACTTTGGGCCCATCACTAGGCGACTGGGAGTTCTAGTTCCGTCTTAGGCATGAAAGCTGGATGGGTGACTTTGGGCCCATCACTAGGCGACTGGGAAGATTAGTCGAACTTTAGGCATCAAACAACTCACAGGGGTGAAAAGTGGTGTGAGGACTAGACTCCAGGAGGTTCTCAAAGGAGAGAGAACATATCAGCTTTTCGTTCCGACTCTTTTGGGAACTGCAGTGAAATACATGGGAAAATCCCACTGACAATGAAAATGGAACTAGGGTTAGGCTTAGGGTTTCACTGGTTAATAGTTCTCACTGTCAGGAAATTTTTCCCTTGTTTTTAGGTTCAATCTCTCTCTGAGTAGCCTTCACCCATTTCCTCTCCTTCCTTCCTTCCTTCCTTCCTTCCTTCCTTCCTTCCTTCCTTCCTTCCTTCCTTCCTTCTTTCCTCCCTCCCTCCCTCCTTCCCTCCCTCCCTCCCTCCTTTCCTTTCCTCTTTCCTTTCCCCTTCCTTCCTTCCTTCCTTCCTTCCTTCCTTCCTTCCTTCCTCCCTCCCTCCTTTCCTTTCCTCTTTCCTTTCCCCTTCTTTCTTTCCTTCCTTCCTTCATCCCTCCCTTCTTTCCTCCTTCCTTCCTTCCTTCCTTCCTTCCTTCCTTCCTTCCTTCCTTTTAGAATGAGAAAATCCTAGGGCTGGAAGGGACCTTGGAGGTCTTCTAGTCCACCCCCTGCTCAGGCAGGAGACTTTATATCATCCTGGGCAAATGATTGTCCAATCTTTTCTTGATTTCTAGGTTTGATCTCCCTCTGAGTAGCTTTCATCCATTTCCTCTCCTTCCTTCCTTCCTTCCTTCCTTCCTTCCTTCCTTCCTTCCTTCCTTCCTCCCTCCTTTCCTTTCCTCTTTCCTTTCCCCTTCCTTCCTTCCTTCTTCCTTCCTTCCTTCCTTCCTTCCTTCCTCCCTCCTTTCCTTTCCTCTTTCCTTTCCCCTTCCTTCTTTCTTTCTTTCTTTCTTTCTTTCTTTCTTTCTTTCTTTCTTTCTTTCTTTCTTTCTTTCTTTCTTTCTTTCTTTCTTTCAGAATGAGAGAATCCTAGGGCTGGAAGGGACCTTGGAGGTCTTCTAGTCCACCCCCTGCTCAGGCAGGAGACTTTATATCATCCTGGCCAAATGGTTGTCCAATCATTTCTTGAAAACCTCCAGGGATGGAGCATTCACCGCTTCTGGAGGCAGGTTGTTCCACTGGTTAATTGTTCTCACTGTCAGGAAGTTTCTCCTTAGTTCCAGGTTGCTTCTCTCCTTGATCAGTTTCCACCCGTTGCTTCTTGTCCTGCCTTCAGGGGCTTTGGAAAATAAGTTGAACCCCCCCCCTCCTCTTTGAGGCCGCCCCTCCGATATGGAAACCCTGCTATTATGTCCTTTTTTTTCATTAAATTCACTTGCATTTGTGATGAAAACAGCCCCCTGGATTTAATGTCGCTCAGGAATCCTGGACCTGTCTCGTCTCGGAGTTGGGAGTGTTTAAAAAAAAAGGCAGCAAAATAATTTTTTTCCAACAGGGATTCTGTTCATCCATCAATTCCCCCTCTTTTGGATTACTCTCCGATGCATCAAGCTTTGAATTACAGTTTAGGGGGCTGCTGTATCCATCCTTCGGGCCAAGAGGGCTCTCTCCTTACACAGTCATTTACAAAAAGAAGAAGAAGAAAAAACACACACAGCCGCAAAAAGCAAAAGAAACAAGAAAAAAAAAAGAACTTGGAGTCATAAATATGCAGAGCCTGCGAAGGGAATCGCTTGCCTGCCGCTGAAAAATGTGTTATGTCAAGGAACAACAAACACAGACTGCCAAAATGAAGCATGCTCCATTTCCTGAACGTCTGCAAGGCCAGGGCACCCGAAAGGAGCTGGATTCGCACCAGCTCCCGCAGCCCCAGAGCAGCAAGTCCAGATTAACCCCAACGGAGCGGAGCGTGTTGTACAAATGGGTCTGGTTCAGCAAGGTGTGAGAACGCAGCCCGAAGGGTGGAAAATAAGCAGACTGGAACAAAACAAAACGGTTGCTGGGTATGTCTAGTTTAATGAAGAGAAGAACTAAGGGTGACATGATAGCAGCGCTCCAATATCTCAGGGGCTACCCCAAAGAAGAGGGAGTCAAGCTATTCTCCAAACCACTCAAAGGCAGGACAAGAAGCAACGGATGGAAACTAATCAAGGAGAGAAGCAACCTAGAACTAAGGAGAAACTTCCAGACAGTTAGAACAATTAACCAGGGGAACAACCTGCCTTCAGAAGCGGTGAATGCTCCAACACTGGAGGTTTTTAAGAAGAGACTGGGCAGCCATTTGCCCGAAATGGTATAGGATTTCCTGCCTGAGCAAGGGGTTGGACTAGATGACCTCCAAGGTCCCTTCCAACTTTATCATTATTATGGATCATCACACAATCAGCCAGATGTTCAGACTCAGATTTGGTATTTTGTCTACCTATCGAGTCCTTACCCAGGACCTGGGATAGGCAGATGTGGATGTCTGATGGTATTACAGGTATCGTCGCAGGATGGAAGCAGTTCCTAGTAAGGCCGCCTTTTGCAATTGACTAATAGCGAATTTGTCAATGCCAATTGTATTCAAGTGGTGCTCCAGTTGTTTTGGGATTGCACCCAAGGCGCCTATGACTATTGGTACTACCCTTGCTTGCTTTTGCCACAGTCTTTCTATTTGTAGGTCTTTGTATTTTGTTATCTTCTCCAGTTCTTTCTCGTTTATTCTGCTGTCTCCAGGCACTGCCACGTTCACTATGCAGGCTTTTTTGTCTTTCTTATCGACAGTTGTTAAGTCTGGGGTGTTACGTTGCAGGTGCTTGTCTGTTTGAATTCTGAAGTCCCAGAGCAGTTTAATTTTATCATTTTCTATGACTTTCTCTATTTTATGATCCCACCAGTTTTTGCTTACAGGCAATGATATTTTTTGCAGATCTTCCAATGCACCATTGTTGCTACTTTGTCATGCCGCTGCTTGTAGTCAGTCTGTGCAATCTTCTTGCAACAGCTTACCAGGTGGTTCACTGTTTCTTCAGCTTCTTTGCATAGGTGGCACTTACTGTCTGTTGCTGTCTTCTCAATTTTGACTTTGTATGCATTTGTCCTTAAGGCTTGGTCTTGTGCAGCCACAATTAGTCCCTCGGTCTCTTTCTTCAATTTTCCTGCTCTTAGCCATTGCCAGCTATTTTTTTAATGTATTGGCCATGTAGTGCTTTGTCTTCCCATGCCTCTATTCTGTTCTTCATTTGGTCTTTCTTGTAGGCCAGTTTGGTCTCTCCAGTAGTCAGTAAGCCTTCCTGATATACTAATTTCAGTGCATCATTGTTCTTCAGATATTCTTCCAAAGCCATTTTTTCTTCTTCAACCCTCTGATGTACTTGTAGCATTCCACGCCTACCTATTTGCCTTGGTAGATAAAGTCTGTCAATGTCACTGCGTGGATGAAGGGCATGATTCATTGTCATTATTTTTCTAGTCTTCCTATCCATTGCTTTTAGTTCTGCTTGAGTCCAGTCCACTATTCCAGCTGTGTACCTAATGACTGGAATTACCCAGGTGTTGATTGCCTTTATGGTATTTCCTCCATTGAGTTTGGACTTTAAGATCTTCTTCACTCTCTTGATGTATTCACCTCTAATCTTTTTCTTGACTTCAATGTGCTTGATGTTGTCAGCTTGAAGGTTACCCAAGTATTTGTAGTACTCTTCCTCATCCAGACTCTTAATGTTATTTTCGTGGGGCATCTTGATTCCTTCAGTTTTCATTATTTTTCCTTGTTTGATAGTAATTGTGGCACATTTGTCCAATCCAAACTCCATTACAATATCTTGGCTATATATACGGACAGTGTTGAGCAGCGATTCTATTTCAGATGATGTTTTTCCATACAGCTTCAGATCATCCATGTAAAGGAGATGGGATAGTCTGGTAGATGTTTTGATGTTTGA